CGGGTATGAAATAATTTTGAAAGCTTGAGACGCACACCTACACCCGGCGTATGTGTGTGCACTTGTGCGTATTATTCAGCACTTGTCTGTGTACGACTGCGTATTTCTGTGTTTGTGCCTGTGTGAGCACTTATGCATATTGTGCTGGCATGCGTTCGTGTATGCATGCACATGTATTTATATGTTCGTAGATGTGCACATATGTGCTCATATGCATGTACTTAGCATTTGATTGAAAATAATTTTTATTAATGCATTTAATACTCTTCTTTTTAGGGGAAGGGGAGGCATTCTATAAGAAATGTTCGACACTCTAAATGAAAAATATTCGACACTAAATGAAAAATATTCGACACTAAATGAAAAATCTTCGACACTAAATGAAAAATATTCGACACTAAATGAAAAATATTCGACACTAAATGAAAAAAACTCTACACTCTAGATGAAAAAAGTCATTTAAAAACTGTAAAAATCTCTGAAGAACATTAGCTACATTTGCAATCACATTAAGGAGGTTCCTTGATGCTGGGGAAGGGCTCTTGATGCAAGGAATTGAAATTATATTTTTTCATAGATCAATTTTTTTTACTTCCAATTTTCCATTTAATGCTTCCCGAGAATATTACTACTACTACTGTATAATAATAATAATAATAATAATAATAATAATAATAATAATAATAATAATAATAATAAATTTAATATAATCAATAATAATACAGATTTTTCATATATTATTCAACTTTCTTTTGAATTAGTGCTGTATTTCTACAAATATATATATATTTTTTGCTTTCAGTATCTTTGGACACTTGCTGGTACCTTCTTCTTGGTGTGCCAGGGACGCGCCCAATACGGTGGTGGTGGATTGATAAATCGAGAAGTTGGTTCTACAAGCACCAGTACATCAATTGGTGGTTCCTATGTGGGTGATCAGGGAGGTTTCATCAGTGGAGACGGTGGTGGCGGAAGCCACCTCGGTGGGGACGTCTATGGAGGTGGTCAAACTGGCTTAATTGGTGGTGGAGATCTGAGTGGCTTAGTCGGCGGCCACAGTAGTGGTGGAGGCATCATTGTAGGGGATTCCTATAGTGGTGGTCAGGGTGGTTTAGTGCTTGAAGGACACGACGGTTTTAGCGGAGATAGTGGTCATCTTGTTGTGGGTTCTGGAGGTGGTGGTTCCGTGGATGCCAGCGGCTCTGCATCCTCTGGAAGTCTCCGGGAAGCTATGCGGCTCCGGGGAAAGGCAACGGCAAGAGCACAGCCACCTCTTATGTTTTCTTCCGTCTAGGCGCTCCTCTTGCCCTTGGAGAATTGAGCCAAGGTTACGGTGGTTCTCGGGGAGGTTTCTCAGCAGGAGGCGCTCTAAGGAGTGGTGCTCTAGGAAAAGGATCTATAGGTGGCAGTTCCAGTGGTTCCTATGGACTAGGTGGTGCTGGTGGGTTATTAAGCGAAGGTAATGGAGCTTCAGTCATTGGTCAGGCATTCACTGGCTCCATCAGTAGCGCCCACAGCGTCTCCAGTGGAGGATACGGATCCTCTGGTTCCATCAATAGTGGCGGGCTTGGTGGCTCACATGGAGATTTTCGGATCATCCGGTTCCTTCGGCGGCGGCCGCGGTGTCTCCAGCGGAGGTGACGGATCTTCTATTTCCATTAGCGGCGGCCTTGGAGTCGCCAACAGAGGTTACGGATCCTCTGATTCCTTCAGCGGCGGCCACGGCGTCGCCAGCGGAGGTTCCGGATCTCTTGGTTCTATCAGCGGAGGCCACGGTGTCACCAGTGGAGGTTACGGATCCTCTGGTTCCATTAATAGTGGCGGGCTTGGTGGCTCACATGGAGATTTCGGATCATCCGCTTCTTTCGTCGGCGGCCACGGCATCTCCAGCGGAAGTTACGGATCTTCTGGTCCCGTCAGCGGCGAATTTGACAGTTCTTCCGGTGGCTACGTGTAACGTCTGCTGACAATGATTTAGTAATGTACATTTCCGTATTAATACATTCATTGCTACTTAATGTACGGCGGTGCTCCAAATATTTCTGCAGCTCATCTTACATAATATAGCAATCATCACTTCCTATTATAATTAGATTTTTGCGTTTGTGTTGTAAGACAAATAAAATACTATTAAGGGTTGTTAAATTTTTATATTTTTCGCCTATATTCCAAAACGTCTCTAAATTTTATCTTGCAAAATTGTTCTTATAAATCAAAATTTAAGAATTATCTCAGAAAATTACTCTCAGTACTAGCATTATTCTCTCTCAGATGATTAATTAAACACAGTTCTACACTGACCTCTCTGTTTACATGAAACTATTCGTTGGTCCCCACATCTCTCTCTCTCCTAAACCTACACTTCCCTCCCCTACCCAAATCCTTCCCTCACAGCACTTACCTCCCTACCTCGGCCTCCCCTTTCCCTACACCTTCACCTCTCTGCCTCATATCACCCCTCTCGCCCCCTCCCCCACACACACAACTTCAAGTTACCTGTATGCCAACCGGAAGTCTTAATTTATGAGCACCTGTTACAATACTCCGCGTCCTTGAGACATTTGTACTCAGATAATGTTAAATATTTTGTTGAATATTTTGTAATGCATCAAGTTTCCAAAAGTTACATTCTCATTCCGGATGACCTGGACATTATTGTGTCTGAAATCTATAAATCTATCATCTTTCTCTACATGATTTACAGGCGCAATCTTCAGTTTTCCTCTATTATGTGATACATTTAGTTCTTTCAAGTTAATAATCAAGTCTCTTGCATATAGTTTCTCCAGAAATTAGCATCTTGTAATCATTAGGGAATCCGGTTTGTATTATTTTTATTATTATGTACACGGGAAAGACCTAAACCACTAGGGATCATAAAGCGCATAACGAATAGGCAGCAATCGCTTATCTGAGTGAAGGGAGAAAAGACTTATACCGGTATCAAAACACTCCCATTGAAAGGCCCCTCAAGGAAGATTCCTTGATGTTGGTGAGGGGCTTTTGATTTAGGGAATTGGATCTGTGCTCCAGTTCCCCAAATTAAGCCTGAATGCCTTGCACATCCTCCCCCCCCCCAGGCGCTGTATAATCCTCCGGGTTCAGCGCTTCCCCCTTCATTATTCATTATAATAATTATAATAATCCCATTTAAAGGAATCTGGTCTATTTTTCAGAACTTCACGTCTCTGATCTTTCTTGAATTTAGGTGTTACGTTTCTATCTGTACAATAAATTAGTTTCTTCTCTAATATTCGTGGTGATACTTAGCATGGTCGTAATTCATTTATTATATCAAGTTTCAATAGGAATTTCCTCGCTTTTTCATTAGTCGTGTTACCTCTGATCACTTTGGTTTATCTTCTCTTCTGTCTCTAGTAATGGACTTTGTTAGTTGATTGGGAAATGGGGTCTGAAATCTACCTACTACATGAGGGTCAGTAAGGCTGCTTGTAATCTGTTCACTCTAGTCAAGAATAACTTAATCCCTGTGGATATATACACTAAGAGACATACCTCATGATGTATATACCTTGTCACTTATTCAATTGTTAACACACTATGGTGGGTAAATGCATACATGTTTTATGGATGTGTGTCTTTGTGTTCTAGCTTATTAATATTCTGATAATATAATCAGTGATTTGGTCTGATATAAGATCAGGTAATTACAAGAATAATTCTTTTAAAAGACTGTTTCGTGAATCCAAAGTCAGCGGTGTGGTAGCACTGGACATTGCTGGCGCTTTCGACCGCGTGTGGCACCAGGGCCTCTTAGCAAAACTTCAAGCACTGGGAATTGCAGGCTCTACGTTATGTCTCCTCAGTGATTACCTTCATGGTAGATCTCTAAGTGTAGTTTTCAATGGAACGGAATCAGCAAGACATCCTATTGGGGCAAGTGTTCCACAAGGAAGCGTACTGGGACCATTGTTATGGAATGTCTACTTCAACGACCTTCTTCATCTCATCCCAGAATCACATGCATATGCAGACGAATGTACACTGACATTCACTTATCCAAGAGAAGAAATGCCAGCTGCTCTAAGCTACATCACCAGCTGAGAGCTATATATGCTTTGGGAAATAGATGGCAAGTAACATTTGCACCTGAGAAAACGCAAATGATCGTCTCTAGGCACCATGATGGTAATGCTGGTGCAGTAGTAAGGAAGAATGGGAGGGTGTTGGCACCTGGAGAAGAAGTTGATATCCTTGGGGTGAAATTTGACTCCAACTAACCATGAAGAACCATGTTGTAAATCTTGCAAACAAGGCAGCCAGGAAGCTTACAGCACTTCGCCGTATCTCGCATCTGCTTGACAGTAGGGGTTGCAAGATTCTGTACGAGACACAAGTACTCACACCTTGAGTTTGCCTGCCATTCCCTCTCATCTGCGACTGCTTGACAGAGTAGAGAACAGAGCAAGACATCTCATCTCTCGCCTGGGCCCATCCTGGACAGATCTGTCATTTCAGCAGAGCCTTCAACACAGGAGGGATGTGGGTGGCCTTACTGTTATGTACAAGGCCAATATTGTCAAAGTACCACACTTGGATCCACTTCGAGGACAGCGTGAAACAAGCTTTTATGCCACAAGACGGGCAGAAAGCAGCAACTTCACTCTGGCTGTACCCTTCTCCAGAACATCACTCCATATGGAACACATTCGTACAGCATAATGATGTCAACGAGATAAAATCAGTTGATCAAATGAAAATGCTGGCCCACAGATGACTCCAACTTCATCCTGTTCCCTACTTGTATGTCTCTTAACAATAAAAATGCTTTCAAATGAGCTGATGTAGGTAACAGCTCTTAGCTTGCCAATAAAGTTAGGAATCCTTAACCTGTAAATAGTTTGTCAATAAAGCTAGGGATCCTTAACCTTGTCAAACCCTGTGTAAAAAAAAAAAGTGTAGCTTCCGTTCAACATAAGTAACATGCCTAAAAATAAAAAAAAAACATACAAAATCACTCCTGGCAAGGAATGAATGAGAATACATAAAGCAGGAGATGCCTTAGCGGAGAATGGATTATGAAAATGAACATACCATAGAAATTTAACAAGGCTTCATTTCGAAAGTTCTGTGAGATATTGCAAAGGCTTGAATGCCATCCGTAAGGAATAAATAATGTCCGTAGACAGATTATTTATATGTAATAATTTATTTACCAATATTAGAAATAATATTTATAACATAAAATACTCTTATATCAGTATAAATAAGGTATTACCATGTAACTTCTCCCACACAATAAACTACCACGATTGAGCCATGACATCAGAATCGAATCCACAAATGACAGTTTAACCACCATATCCACCTATTTTACCATAAGTTACCAATGCTTCCCTGTCCTCCCAGAGCATGAGCAGATCCCAGAAACCCACCACCACCAATGCCACCATGGCCACCTACCAGTCCACCAACTCCAAGGCCACCATGACCCAGTACGGAGCCGCCGCCATATCCAACCAAAGGAGCACCCAAGTTGAATACACTGTAACCTGTGGCAACTCCGTGGGCAGCTCCGTAAACTGGAGGGGCGTAGCCTCCCTTCAGAACACCAGCTGAACCACCAAGTCCAAGTCCAGACCCGAAAGAGCCTTTAAGACCTCCTCCTAGTCCTGCACCGTGAAGACCACTTCCTAGTCCAGCACCATGAAGACCACCTCCTAGTCCAGCACCGTGAAGACCACCTCCTAGTCCAGCACCGTGAAGACCACCTCCTAGTCCAACACCAAGAGAGCCTTTGTGTCCACCAACTAGTCCAGCACCATGAAGACCACCTCCTAGTCCAGCACCGTGAAGACCACCTCCTAGTCCAACACCGAGAGAGCCTTTGTGTCCACCAACTAGTCCAGCACCATGAAGACCACCTCCTATCCACACCGAGAGAGCCTTTGTGTCCACCAACTAGTCCAGCACCGTGAAGACCACCTCCTAGTCCACACCGTGAAGACCACTTCCTAGTCGCCCGTGAAGACCACTCCTAGTCCAGCACCGTGAAGACCACCTCCTAGTCCAACACCGAGAGAGCCTTTGTGTCCACCAACTAGTCCAGCACCGTGAAGACCACCTCCTAGTCCAGCACCGTGAAGACCACCTCCTAGTCCAGCACCGTGAAGACCACCTCCTAGTCCAACACCGAGAGAGCCTTTGTGTCCATCAACTAGTCCAGCACCGTGGAGACCACCACCTAGTCCAGCACCGTGAAGACCACCTCCTAGTCCAGCACCGTGAAGACCACCTCCTAGTCCAACACCGAGAGAGCCTTTATGCCCACCAACTAGTTCAGTACCGTGAAGACCACCTCCAAGTCCAAGAGAACCTTTGTGACCACCTAGTCCAACACCGAGAGCACCTTTGTGACCACCTCCTAGTCCAGTACCATGAAGACCATCTCCCAGTCCGACACCGGAGGCGACTGTTATGCCACCCCCTAAACCAGCTCCGTAGGAATCTTTGAAACCTCCTCCTAGTCCAGCACCGATGGAATCTTTGAGGCCTCCTCCTAGTCCAGCACCGATGGAATCTTTGAGGCCTCCTCCTAGTCCAGCACCGATGGAATCTTTGAGACCTCCTCCTAGTCCAACACCATGAAGACCACCTCCAAGTCCAGCACCATGAAGGCCACCTCCGAGTCCAACACCAAGTGAGCCGTGAAGACCACCTCCGATGGGGCCGCTGTAGTCATATCCCACTTCAGCTTGGCACTGGGAGGTCAACAGACTCGCCACTACGACAATTAGCACTTTCTGAAAAAAGGAGCAAGATAAACTATTTGATTCTCAGCTGCTCTCTTTCAGATACTAATTTTGAACAGAATAGCCCCAAAGATATTCATTTAAGAGAAAAAGTAGTGAAGATGTGGCCTTCACAGAATATTTATTGAATCAGCTATAACCTTTTTTCACAAAGGCTAGAAGCTGTTATTCAGCCTCTGCTAGGGCGTTGTGTAACTCTTGCTGGTTTATCTATTCTTAATGAATTTTAAGAATAATTATTTACCATGGCTCTTTTCAAAGCACAGCCCTAAGACATGGTACCACCCTAAGGATGTGAACTTTGAAAGTCAGCTGAAATCCAGGAGCCTATATTCTGCTAGGTGTAAAGGGGCAGCAGTCGTAAAGAAACTTTTCCACTACTCAGATCACATGTGTATGAACCCGTGTTCTTCGATTATAGGCTGAAAGCGCTTCAAGCTGAGTAACCTTTAACAGATTTTCAAGGTTTAGTGACTGATAAACCTCGCCTAACCCACGCAAGAGAGAGATACGAAAGTAGCCAATATTTTTCTCTTGTGAGCTGCCGCGGGTTGTATCTATCACAGCCACCTCAGTTATGTCAAATTACTGTTTACAGTTTTTGAGTATCATACATTAATATATTCTCAAATTCATTAATTACCTTCCACTGAATCACTTTCCAATTTTTATAACTTAGGTCTCCAGAAAATATTAAAAGCTCTGCCCACTCACAGTGCAAGAATTTGAGATGTATTTACTAGTTTATTACTTGCTAAACAAGAGCTTCTACGGCACAGGCCGCCTTTGCCTATAATTCAATAATAAAAGCACTCGTTTTCAGTTAAATGCTGATGATACGATTCAACCCATTCATGGGTCAAGTGTCACTGATCACTAATATCACGGTCTAGTATGTTTTCCGCAAGCATAAAACTGCTATATAAAACGGTGGATCTTACCATGATGGCGTTTTGAGCCAGACTATCCAGTGAGTTTAAATCTCACTTCTTATATACCCGTGAATTGCATTCTATTTTGGGGGATGCATGATTTATTTCAAAGAACCTTGGTAGGACCTCCGGTCAGAGGTGACGACCAGCGCCCCCACGTCCTTGAGCGACTTTAATTACAGTTATAACATTTTAGTGCGGAGAAATGGACGGAAGTTGCGGTGGTTCATTCAGCGAAGTCTTGAGCGACAAAGGTTACCTGGTTGGTTAACTGGGTTAAAGCCTATCGACTATGAGAGAATCATTAACTGCATATATCCTGTTCACCAACAACCGAGAATACTTTAATCCCTAGAATAAGTATTAAAGGAAACTTAGTATATACACACAGAAACATACACCTCGTGTATGTTCTGCGAATTAAAGAACAAGATTACATACTTTTCGATTCCTTACTCAAAGATGTTGATGTTTCAGAAAGAACTGGATCTCATCCCATCAAAGATAAGGAGATGCCTTGATGCTGATGAAGGGCTCCTGATTCACTGAGTTAGAGTTACCCTTCACTTCCTCTGATCAAATCTGATTACCGTCAATTTCCCAGCCGAGTTATGACCCCTGTTGGTTTAGCTCTTTCTCATGAATATAATAACAATCTAGATCTGATGGTATATTCTGTAGTAATAAATACTTGCTGAAATACGTATAGAGAGAGAGAGAGAGAGAGAGAGAGAGAGAGAGAGAGAGACAGAGAGACAGAGACAGAGAGCAATTACTTCCATTTTTGTGTATATTTGGAAGTTTCCTGACTCTTGAGAAGTTGATTCCTCAGACGATGGTCTCTGCGGTTCAGACAAAGGGTTAAATCCAACTCTTTTTGACGTAAAAGCCGTGATAATAATAATAATATTGTTATGTTTATTATTTTGCATTACTGTTATGTTTAGAGGAAACAGCTAACCCCATAAGTGTCATAAAGCGCTTGGATAATAATAAAGTGTAATCAAATGTGTTTAAAGGATCAGGAAGGCAGCTCACTCCAGCAAATCAAGAATTCTTCACTAGCATGAAGGCACCCTTATTTTGAAGGGTGTTGTGGTCTAACAAATTAGTGATTAAATGGGTCTTTGGATACGGTGATTCCTATACCTGCAGTATAGTGGTGTTTACCTCAGGCTGTACTTAATGACAATGGTAACAGAAATATAACTGTGATTTCGTGGTCACACATTACAATCGCAGCTCCATTCTGTAGGATTATATTACGCCAATAATATGCATGTCTTGCAAGTGCATTAATGAAATTTGTGCCACACATGGGTATCTTTATTGTTGAGACGCTTCGCCAGCCGGCGGCTTTATTGATCTAATACAGACAATAATTACTGGAGACGGTGGAAGACGTGAAGAAATTGTATCAGGGGACCAGTCCGTAAGTAAAAATATTGAATGGGGATAAAGGAGGTTTTGTGTGCGAGGGACTTGGACTTCCAGCTGGCATGCGTGAGCGTGTTAGATAGGAGCGAATGGAGACAAGTGGTTTTTAGGATTTGACGAGCTGTTGGAGTGTAAACAAGTTAACATTTATGAAGGGATTAAAGGAAACCGGCAGAAGGGACTTGACTCCTGAATATGAGAAGTACAGTGCCGGCACTCTGAAGGAGGGGTGCTAATGTTGTAGTTGTATATATATGTAGTGTAAGCATGCCTCTGGCAAGACAGTGATGGAGTGAATGATGAAAGTTTTTTTTTTCTCGGGTCACATTGCCTTGGTGGGAGACGGCCAATGTGTTAATAAAATAAAAAATAAAATATAATCACAACTATAATTTTTAATGGGGGTGGAGGGTAAGCCAGTGGAAGGCCTCGGTCAGATGACCAAAAGCTCCGGCTGAGGGTCATCATATGACTATGACCCTCGTCAGAAAACACTTGTCTTGTTTCCTGACAAATATTACCCAAGTTCCTCAGCCTTGCAAGGAGATGTTCATTTCCCCAGCCTCAGTGAATCGAAAATAGATGCCCATGGATGCAAACATTTCTACTGGAGACAGGCGAGTTGAAGCATGTTGAAGACGACGTCACAGGTGGAAGCAGGTTAAAGAAGACGTCACAGACAGAAGCAGGTTAAAAACAACGTCACAGATAGCAGCAAGTTAAAAACGACGTCAGGGTAGAAGCAGACTGAAGACGACGTCACAGGTAGACGCAGGTTATTCAAATAGGTTGGACAAGCGTTACTGTAAAATAATTCTCCGTACCGAGATTCCTAGACGCTGCTGTGTCAGGCAAGTATCACAATTAAAACAAAGGTATTTAAAGCCGACAGTTAGATGAATAAGGCACATGTGTAAAACTTGAATATCTTGACTGCGGAGACAGAGACGTTCCTAAGTAATTGAAAGTCGGGGCCTTGAACCGAAACCTGACCCCTTCAACCACAGCTAGGCGAGTAAAGGTACGTAAATACAAATCCACATACAAACAGAAAGCCACAGGAAACTACTCAGCGAATGAGAGATTTCAACCCAGTAGGGTACGAAAGGAACGACAGGGAATGGAATGCTGTAGTACGTAGATAAGAAAAAACAGGAGGTGGAGGAGAAACTGCTATCCGAAACGAGAAGAGATAATGGGAAGAAGAGAAAGTGCATGTAGCTTACAAATATTCGAACGCACGAGCAGGATTATTATTAATCATTGTTAATCATTATTATATTATATCATAGAGGAAGCGCCAAGCAAACAGAGGTCATACAACGTCTGGTGAATGGGAAGTTATAAAGTTTGATCAAAGCAAAGGCAGTTTAGCTCCAATTCCTTGAGTTAAGAGCCATAAGGCACCCCCTTCCTTCCTCAACTGAAGGGAGTCTAGCAGGAAAAATAAACATTCTGCGAATTCTCCGGTATTGCTATATGAAATTAAAATTAATCGGAGGAGTAAAGAACGTGAATTGACTGGAATGGATAAAAATATAAGTATACTATAAAAAAGTAATAGGAAATGAACCAGAAGTGAATTAGTAATGATACATCACTAGAAATAACTTAACACCCAGCATACACTGTGGATATATTCTCCTGTGACATCAAGAGACGATCATTTGCTTTTGAATAGGGTAGAAAAAGGTAGTAAACCAGTAGATTCTTAAACACAGATAAGCACCAGTTAGTCGATGATACCCAGCGTTGGGACGCCAGAGGTTGTATAGTCAGTGATACCCAGCAAAGTTCTTCACTTACATCGTGTTACATAAAAAGATATCCCCTGTAAGCACAGGCATTCAGACCACCGAGTCGAGCACTTATAAGCTAACAGTCGTTAATGTCGTGGATTACATAGAGAGAGAGATTACAATAGCTTTACAGCATCGTTTAGCTGTATCCCCATCATAGTACCGACGCCACTGAACGGGTCATCTTATGACCCGTTCAGGGATTTTTCATATCTAATAAGCACATTTACGCTTAATAGTCTGTTAAAGAGGACCCGGTTGTAAGCCGAAATAGGAAGCACTCCTTTCTCACCTGTCAATAAATAACAGAACGATCGACGGTGGCTCGAGCAGTGGTCCCAAGATTGACAGGCCCAGCGCTCTACCGCTTCGGCTACGAGGTTTATGATAGAGAATTTATTAGAAGTATCGTAGCCGAAAATGTAAAAAGCTGGGGCTGCCAATCTTTGGACCGCAGTTCAAGCCTCCTCTCCGTCCTTCTGTTTATATATATTATGTCGTGCCGAATAGGTAAAACTGGTCAATTAGCAGGAACTCATTTAAAATTAAGTCTTTTCTAAAATTTTCTCTTACACGTTTTTTTTTTCCATTAATGTTAATGTAAAAATTAACCTTATTATAACAAGCTCAATTTAATTTAGCCTAATCCAACTAAATACATTTTAGATAAGTTTACAATAATTTAATAATAAAAAAGCACAATGAAATATATCTTCTTTTCGTTAGGTTCAGAATGATTTTTTGCGGAATTATTGCATATATAAGTTTCCGCTTGCCTTATTAGGCTTATTAGGCCTTATTAGGCACAACATATATATATTTAATACAATAAGGACAAGTATAGAATTTATTTTTATAAGTTTTATTCTATAATATTAAATTATTTATAATATACAAAAAAGTTCTACGTTTTATAATTAAAGTTAATAAGGAAAAAGTTTTTATACGTGTGTGAGACTGCAGAAACCTGTCAAAACCATCAAACAGAAATATTTATGGCACTTAGTGGCCATATCCACCTCCGCTTATTACACCAAATTTACCAACACCGCCCAGAGAACCAACGCCAAGACCACTTACACCATGCCCACCTACCAATCCACCAGCTGTAACGCCTCCAAGACCACTATGACCTAGTGTGGGGCCACCGCCATAACCAACCAATGGAGCACCCAAGTTGAATACACTGTAACCTGTTGCAACTCCATGAGCAGCTCCGTAAACTGGAGGGGCGTAGCCTCCCTTCAGAACACCAGCTGAACTACCAAGTCCAGCACCGAGAGAACTTTTAAGACCCGCTCCAAGTCCAGGGCCAAAGGCCCCAGTAATGCTCCCTCCGAGTCCAGCGCCGAGAGAACCTTTAAAACCACCTCCAAGTCCAGCACCGTGAAGACCACCTCTTAGTCCGGCACCGTGAAGACCACCTCCTAGTCCGGCACTGTGAAGACCACCTCCAAGTGCTGCAGACCCTATGGGGCCACTATATCCATATCCCAGTTCGGCGTGGCACTGACAGACGAGCAATGACGCAGCTGTGATGATTAATACCTTCTGTAAAGAATTAAAAAATATATATATATAAATATATATATATATATATATATATATATATATATATATATACACAAACACTGATCTCTGGCTGAAGGAGACTCGAACCTACGAACCTTGGAACAAGGTACGCAGTGCTATACCATTCTCACCACACTGGACCAATACCTTGGCGTCCAGCTTGCGGCAGACGTTGATCCAAGGCAGCCAGCTTTCAGGGAGAAGGCTTACAGCTTTTCATCTCATCCCCTGCATGCATCAGCCTTACTAGAGATTTTAAGAATGCAAGGAATTCGCAAGAGCAGGCTAAATATACACAAACAGTGTTTGTGTATATTTGTGTTTGTGTATATTTCGCCTGCTCTTGCGAATATATATATATATATATATATATATATATATATATATATATATATATATATATATATATATATAATATATATATATATATATTATAATATATATATATAAAATAATATATATATATATATATATATATAAATATAATATATATATATATATATATATAATTACAAGAAACGTGGCAGATTTTAGATATACTTTGAAGGCCACATGAGCTGAACTTTGGAAAGTGATTACATAGAAACCTTGTTTCCGGGTTGAAAACTTTGCTAAGGTTTCCTCAGGGCTAGTTTATTTTCCAGAATACCTTCCCCTTACCAGGCCATTTCAGAAGTAAATCCTTGCACAAAATAACTTTCTTTTTTTGGAAATTTCGATTTTTTTATTTCCCAAAGTATTTTGGGGTTTTTTATCACCGCTTAATGTCGAGACTAGTTTAAATTTTTATGTAAATTAATAATAAGATTCCCAAAATAAAGAATGTCTCCAAATTTTTTAAAATAATGATTTTTCCCAACTATGAATGTCTGGTGACATACTTTGGGGCGTCTAGCCCTATTTCTGTCATTTCTTTCCCTTGACCGATTAATCTACATTTCTCCTCATGGGTACATGTAATGCTCACTTTCACATTCTCGTTTATATTCCTTCAGGTGTTCCGTTCATGATATGTTTCCACCTCATTCTGCTCATGCTTCCTATTAAGAGTCTCAATGTTTGTGAAAAGTTTTTCAATCGAGGTACAGGAGAAACTTTTCCTCTGATCAACCCAGAATATCTTCCATTTCTCAGGCGCTGTATGACTAGGGGTTGCACCAAATAAGTACAATAATAATTTACACAAACTTGCAGAACTTGGTTTGCTGGATTGTTTTCTAAAACAAGTTCTAAAGCTGGATGGGTCATATAGCAATGGGTTTGCTTGAGATGAAATGCTTACCATTGTGGTGTTGAGAGAGAGACTAGCATTCGTGAGGTGGTCCCGTCTCTTATATACCCGCAAAAAAGATCTCAATTTAGAAATATTTGACTGTGGCCGCCCTGGCAAGATCTCTCACACCCCGGGTCGCGACCACTGCCCTCACGTAGAACACAGACCTAGATTTCTGGTCAAGGCTATTTCTCAAAGTGAAAATTAAACGGAAATTACGAATTCCGTGGCTCAAGCGACGGAGGTATCGGTCCTTTGAACCCAGACAGTAGATTCAAATGATTCATCAGTTTAGCTTAACTGATTCACAGCCTCTTATATGCACTGGGAGTTTACTGTAATTAATGTTTCAGTGCTACAAGTATTCTTTGTCTGGTAGTCAATAGGTTACACACAGCCGTAATGGCCCTCGTGCAGTCTATAGGCTTTAAGTCCCACTAACTAACCAGTCCATCTCTAGATTCTTAAATTAATGTTTACCTACTCATCATAAATAAAAAACAAGTGTCTTGCACCCAGACATAAATAACATTTACACCTATAGCATCATAAATGTGTGTTTAAACATGCTATCTGCTGCTCCATTGGCTATGCTTACTCCCCAGTCAAGTACTTATCTAACCTTTATATCACTACCAAAGGTTTTACATTCAATGACCATACTAGGCAGATTTTTCCACTCACTGACTTCTCTATATCCAAACCAAAACTTTCCTTTATCCTTTCTAAATCTAAACTTATCCAATTTCAATCCATTATTTCCATTTCCTTCTTGAAGGGATATCCTCAGAACCTTATTTATATCCTTTTATTTATGCCCATCTTCTACTTATATATTTCAGTCATGTCTCTCACTCATTCTAAGTCTTACAAGAAAATGTAGGTTCTTCTTATGGAAGATTTTTTATGCAATGGATTAATATTATCGTTCATCCCTCGATGTTCTCTAAAGAATTTATATCCATTCTGCATTAATCTAATGATGTCTAGAGCTGTAGTATAATCTACAGACTCCTGTTGCTTATACTTAACATAAATCAGATGAGCACAACTGAGATCAAGATTATAACATACCTCTCACACCAGAGTTCTTTCCATTAGGTAATCAAAACTACAGTGGAGACATAAGGCCTTAAAATCAACTGCTTCCTTCACTCTACTCCCCAAATAATTTAACACATAATTTATAATTTATAGAACATTAATCTTTTGCACTAAAATCTCTCTTGGTAAAATAAATGGACTGTAACTTTTTTGTTGCATTGTACCCTCTTTTGTTAAAATACATGGATCATTATTTTAGGACGCATTGAAATCTCTTTTGGTATAATACATATAATAATATTTTAGGTTGCATTGAAATCTCTTTTGGTATAATAAATTGATTATTATTTTAGACTGCATTGAAATCTCTTTTGGTATAATACACGGATTCTTATTTTAGGTTGTGTTGAAATCTCTTTTGGTATAATAAATTGATTATTTTAGGCTGCATTGAAATCTCTTTTGACATAATACATGGATTATTTTAGGTTGCATTGAAATATTTTTTGGTATAGTACATGGATTATTTTCGGATGGATTGAAATCTCTTTTGGTATAATACATAGATTATTATTTTAGGTTGCATTGAAATCTCTTTTGGTATAATACATAGATTATTATTTTAGGTTGCATTGAAATCTCTTTTGGTATAATACATAGATTATTATTTTAGGTTGCATTGAAATCTCTTTTGGTATAATAAATTGATTATTATTTTAGGCGCATTGAAATCTCTTTTGAATAATACATGATATATATTTTAGGTTGCATTGAAATTTTTTTGGTATAATACATGATTATTTTCAGATGATTGAAATCTCTTTTGGTATAATACAGTATTATTATTTTAGGTTGCATTGAAATCTTTTTAGTAGATACATATTATTTACTTTGAAGTTTTTAATAATTTACATGAAATTATTTAGTTGCTTGAATATTTTTGTATAGTACATGATTAATTACGGAGGATTGAAATTTTGTATGATACAGTTTTTAGGTGCATTGAAACTCTGTTCGGTATAAATCTAGATAGCTATTTTAGTTGCATAAACGTTTTTGTATAATACTATCATTATTTGGTTTGCATTAATTTTGTTAAAACATTGTATCAATTAGGATTCGTTGAATCATCTCGTCATATTGTGGTTATAATACATGAATATTAGTTGCAATTGAGTAATATCTTGTTGTATTTAGCATCCTCATGTGTTTATTGATTGAACTTTGCCTTGGTTATCTTAATTATTCATTTTCAGTCACGTCGACAACTCTTTCTCACACACACACAACACACATCACAAACACACACACACATACACAACACATCAACACACAATATAATATATATATATATATATATATATATATATATAAATTATTATATATATAATATCGGATGGGGTCCACCTCTGGTGTAAATTGTGTATACGCATAGCCTCGGAGAAGTGGATAAAAAGGTTCAAGGAAAAATTTGATTTCATCCTGAAGCCGTTTGAATATTCCACTTCCATACCACGCCATCTTTTCATATTTTTTTTTTTTTACTAATAGAATATTTTTTTTACATAATATGGGTTACGAAGATTTAGAGATACATTAATGATATGAGTGGCATATACCGGTACATGTTGTTACGTGATATAATACACTAAAAATAATATATATAAATAATAAAAATATATAAAATATATATATATATATGTCGTGCCGAATAGGCAGAACTTGCGATCTTGGCTTAAATAGCAACGCTCATCTTGCCATATAGGACAAGTGAAAATTTGTGTATGCAATACTTTCGCCAAAATCATTCTGAACCTAACGAAAAAAAATATTTCACTGTGTTTGTTTAGTATTAAATTTTTGTAAACAAATCTAAAATATATTTAGTTGGGTTAGGCTAAAATAAATTTTTCTTGTTATAATAAGGTTAGGTAAGTTTTCTAACTTCCTTTTGGTGCAAAATTATAAATTTTTACATCAACATTAATGAAAAAAAAAATCTTTAAACGTATAAGAGAAAATTTTAGAAAGGACTAATTTTAAATGAGTTCTTGCTAATTGACCAGTTTTACCTATTCGGCACGACATTATATATATATATATATATATATATATATATATATATATATATATATATATATATATATCATTAACAGAGCTGTGGCTAGCCATGGTTCGATCCTGCTTCACCAAGCCCAGCTCTGTGAGAGCAGGACAAAGAATGCTTCACTCTATCCACGCCTCACCTTTGGCAGTGTACAAGTCTCCTTACTATTGCTTCATCTTTGCTTTGTTCCAGATTATGAAGCAAACTCTTCTCCAGGCAGAGGGACTGACCACCTTAAAAACTATGCCTTCTAGGGTGATGAACTTATTACAACGTCTATACATTTCTGCTACTGCTTCCTTCTCTGTACCCAACAGAAGAAGCCTACTCTGAAGCCGAAAAGTTTCGGAATTCTGATACCTCATTACTGCACATATGTCTTACCTATTAACTTGTAGGTATTACATACCATTATCATATTCACTCAGAAATTTTTGAAAATGGTAGCTATTCACTAATTTAAGGTCACATAACAAAGGTTTTCTAGCGAGATCGCACTGTAACTAACCTTCCTTTCTCCGGGGAAGGTCATCAACATCACTACCTGAGGGATGATTTGTAGATTATCCACAGCACATTGTAATTCCCTACGCAGCCCATGTTCGCTCATTTCTTTATTGCCTCATTCGTCTAAACCCATCTTGTGTGGTGAAGTATAAGAAAGAAACAGCAAGATCAGTTCCCCATAATGTAACTATCATAAATAACAGATCAGCTTCAAGGTGCGTAATGGAAGTATATACGTATATATTCCAGGTAGTACAACGGGAGTTTGTCTGTCTGAAAAATCTTTACACAACTTTGTGTTTTATTTAAAATGAGATTATATTTACATATTTAATACACGAAGGCAGTTGATATATTACACACCAAGTATGCTCCAGGGAAAGGCATCGCTCCTGGCACCGTTTGATGGTGATGGATTACCACTTAAGCACTGACATGAATGGCTGTGGTTTCGTACAATTACGGAATATTTCAACTTGTAATTTTTCCTTTTTTATTATATTTGCTCTTTTATAACTTAACTGAATTTCTCCATCTTTTTTTTTAAGTCTAATGTTGTTATAGGTTACACACACTTTTTTTTTTTCATTTTTGAATGGTTTTGTTTCGCAAGAAGTATTGTTGAAAAGTTACTGAGGAGCTGAGACGAACAAATCATTACTAAATGGAACACATCCTTAATGAAGAGAAAAAAAGGTTACAATCCCGTCGCTTCAGACTTGTTAATGGTCCAAGTCGGACCGAAGCATCGTCCTGTTTCAGTCTCTTAAGTGCGCTTTGTGTATACATCATTAACGAGACTGTCAGCTGTTTCATCGCCACATTTCACCAGTGTCAAAACATGCAGAAAAAAAACTGTAAAAGAGTCTCTGTAATATATGAAAAAAAAAACAATAAGAACAGTATTGTTTTGTTGAATAGTTTATTTTGCAGTATTTAAAATATATTAAGAGCATACAAATATATATATATATATATATATATATATATATATATATATATATATATATATATATATATATATATATATATATATATACTGATAAATATCTTGAATATATATTACTGATGAACATATCTACAGTTCTTAACAATACTTTAGATGCATAAAAATAAATATTATAACAAAAATCTTGCAAAATAAGTTACTGATGAGCATAAGATTATTTATACGAAGCTTGTCCGTCATAAATATTCCTAATACTGCAGAGAATTGGTTCCCTGCAACACTTAGCGACCATATCCACCTCCACCAATGCCTCCAACCCCACCACCGGCTTGAAAACCTCCCGGACCGCCAGAACCAATTCCACCCAGTGAACCAGCACCGCTATAACCACCTACCCCAGCGGCGAAACTGCCTCCCAGTCCTCCGGCGCCGTGACCACCGCCCAGAGAACTAGCACCGCTATAGCCACCTCCACCGGCGCCGAAACCGCCTCCCAGTCCACCGGCGCCGCGACCACCACCCAGTCCACCTGCCCCACCGCGGTAGCCTCCCGATGGAGCGCCTAAGTTGAAGTTGCTGTAGCCTGTGGCAGTACCGGAGCCTCCGTAGCCCGCACTGGGTGCTGCATAGCCTCCTTGAAGAGCCCCAGAGCCACCAAATCCGCCTTCATGGGATCCTAGGCCTCCGCCTCCATGGGATCCTAGGCCTCCGCCTCCATGGGATCCTAGGCCTCCGCTTCCAGCGGATCCTCGTGATCCATATCCCAGCTCAGCACGACACTGGGAAACTACCAAAGTCGTGGCGAGAACGATGAAAAATTTCTGCGAAGTACAAGAAAATATATATTTGTAAAAAATCTTATCTTGCATTCAATTTATAGGGAACCTACGACATTCTCTGAATACTTTTTAAGGTAAAACTGATACGATCCTTAACCACTTTAGGTTTTGCGATTTTATAGGCCTTGCATTTCAGGTTAAATATATATACTTTATGGGATCTAACACTTTAAATAAGAGTGTTTGGTTTTTAATCCTTTACCTGCAATATATATAGTGCCTGTGTGTGTCTCTCCCCCCCCCCCCATGTCTTTTCCCTCTCACATTCTGTTTGTTTATCATTAAGTTGCTTTCTTTTCTTCGTTACACATAAACTTCCATTTAAACTTTCTCATACACAAGATTGAAAAACAAACTGATGCTAGTACAGGAGCAAGTGTTGCTTACCATTGTGAAGTTGAGAGAAACACTATGGAGTGTGGGAAATCTGACGTCTTATATACCCTCAAAGGACGGCCTTGCAAGACCATCTCACCAGGGGTGACGGCCAATGCCTTCAGGGACGTGATTGCTCTGGATTGCTCGTCGTTCAGAGAGTTTGAAATGCCGGTGTAAGTAGCGTAAAATATATGCACACACAGTTTTAAAGAAAAGAAACTACGAACATTGATGACTGGTGTCGGAGAAGAGCTCTTGATGCAAGTAACTTGGGCTACACCTACTTTAATTGAAACAAAATTTGCAACCTTAAACTTTTCAGGCGCCATATGAGTTTAGAACTCTCTATGAATGTAAAAATAATAAAAATAATACAAACATCGATGAAGGAAAGATCTGGGAGTGAGCATCACGACCAATACATCGTCCGAGGAGCACATTAACCTCATGACTTTTGCCGCCTATGTGAAGCTAGCAAACCTTAGAATAGCCTTCAGAAAGCTCATGCTTATCTTAAAACTCGGAGCAATATCGAATTAGCCACTCTTATCCCACCCTGATCAAGCTCACCTAGACATTTGCAAAGACCCAGTGGTCTGCACCTAGACTAGTCTATGTTTAAGTGTATTAAGAGTTAGGAACTAAATCTGAAGCCTCTGGAAGTGAGAAGAGGTAGTGAAAACTTGACAATGACATATAAGATTCTTAGGAGAATTAAATGGGAGAATTAAAATACTTCGATAAGTAAACAGAGGACAGATGGAAACTATAACACATGTAAGAGTCACGAGGACATAAAGTACATACTTTTTTCAGCTTAAGTTAGTAGGAAAATGGAATTACCATGAAATGAAAGTGGTAGAGCCAAACTTTAAATATAGTTTTAACAGTATGGCTGTAAAAGCCAGAAATCATTAATGACTGTCACCAAAGCCTAAAAAAAATCGAGGTAGCGTTCAAGACATAACTCATACAAAAGCAAATTTGTGAGCTGAAATAACCACGACCCGTTGCTTTCCTTTGAAAATATATAACCACAATTCATTATGAATGTCAAACCTACGTAACTTACTTGAATCTCATCATATAGTTTACAAAATAATTCAAGGGGAGAGTAGAAAAGGACAGAGAAAATTACAGTGACACTGAAAGTGGTAATGCAATGACAACAGTGGATCAAAGAAACTAGTCACCTTGAATATTGTTGAAAGTCAATAGAAACTGAGCAGTTACCAGAAAGCTAGAGGACACGAAGGGAAAAATACAGGAAGCTCTAAACTCTTGACCAGTGTCACAGACTAGCAAAATGGCCAAGGATTTAGAAAAGATAAGCAAGAGAACAATTGAGAACCTATAAATAAATGGTTAATCTGGAGACACTCTAGTTTTATTTCACGAAATAAAACTGGTGAGAGAAAACAAAACTCTAGGGAGAACTGAATGAGTAGACCTTAACTTCCAGGACTGTAAATAAAATAATTGATACAGTACTACACAGGAGCCTGGTATGTATACTAGAAGAGCAGGCAGGAACATCGGGTTCAGTGTTGAAGACCGATAGAGGAATACCTCGAGAATAATAGGCAGAAGATAATGGTGAAAAAAGAGGCATTAGAGCGGGAATAAGTGATGCATAGACTCTCCGAAGAATTGAGTTTCATGCCTTACTGTTTCTGACAGATGCTCGGAAGTAGCCATCATCCTGCAAGAGCAGTCATGATGGTGGCTGCTGTAATTCACTCTTGACAACATCGCCGTAATGCGAGTAGCAGCGGGAGTGGCAAGAATAGACACGGAATAAAACCTGTAAAGTGCGATGATGTAGACAACACATAAGGAGAAAAATCAGCGATTAGCCATAGCGTCAGAATTGCATATAAACAGTACATCTTCAGTGACATATAAAATAAAGATTTACCAGTTATACACAAATTTTGTTACGCTCATTTTGAAGTATGCAGCGCCATTACAATCTTAATCAAGCATGGATAGAAGCTAGTAAATATCCGAAGGTTTGCATCGAGATCAGTGCTGGAACTAAGAATGTCTTACTGGGAGAAACTGAGGGAAGAATGATCCAAAACGTCGTTATACGTTTCCCACTTTTAAGTGCGGGTTATTTGCGTAACTTAACACTAGATAAGGATGAGCACCACTGGGGATGTAATCATTACTTTAAAAATACGCTGAGGAAGGGAGATGCAAGATTATTATAATTGTGGGGGAGCGCTAAACCCGTAGGGGGATGAAAGGTATTCTTGCTCATTCCAGGGAATCGGAGCACAGATCCAATTCTCTAGATCAAGAGCCCCTCACCAGCGTCATGGAACCTCCCTTGAGGGGCGGGAGATGCAAGAAAGTCAGGGGAATACAGATGAAGGCAGCCGCATGGTCGTTAGGATGTACTTCCTAGTTTCAAGGAAATGAGTAGACAGAACGATCAAGGCACATATATGTGGCAAATATTGCACAGCTTCGAGAGTAGACAAGATCAGAAAATGGAGGCAGTCAAGTCGGTTGATAAGTGTTAGGAAACTGGGGATACCAGCTGTTACTCTGCTCCTGCTATACATAGCAGAATTCAGCTAAAAAAAAAGTTACGTCAGTTTAAGTTAAGTTAGGTGAGGGTTCTAAGTCAGGTTTGGTTGAAAAATAAATGTCTCTATACCACCGTCAATGAAAAAAATATTTATCATTCTGTAAAAGAAATTTTGCGATACGTTTATTTATTTAAGGGAGTTTGGTTTATTCGGCAAGTTCTCTTTATTAGACACCACACATACATACATGATTATATATATATATATATATATATATATATATATATATATATATATATATATATATATATATATATATATATATATACAATCATCAGCAATTCGTAATTAGCTACTATGTCAGGGATTTCAAATTCACTCATCACCCATTTCTCTGATTCCTTGAATTACATTATATTATATGGAAAAATTAACTTTTTACTGTTTCATGTTCTTAAGAGATTTTACTTCTATTTAATAATTATTGCAATATTTTATCGATACTAATATTTATAATATTTATATTATTATAAATGAATTTTAAAACTATTAAGTATTTATTGGTTGGGAAAGAAAATAAAAATGGATATAATCATAACCATAATTTTAAAAGGGATGGGCCGGTAAGCCAGTGGAAGGCCTCGGTCAGATGGCTAAAAGGTGCAGCTGTGGGCCATCATATGATTAAGACCCGTGTCAGGAAACACTTGTCCTGTTTCCTGACAAGCTTCGTTAGGAATAATGAAGAAAAGTAAACACCAGTCAGTCAGTTTATGCGCACTGATAGGTGTATGTCTCTCAGTGTATACACACGGTGAGTTATCTTTAATCCCCGTTTTCTATATTAAAGTATTCTTGACTAGTGATGAACAAGAAAGGCCTGAGCTTGCTACCACTGCAGCTCATAAGACTGCCATCCCACGAGCCCCTTTGGGGTGGGGCAGATGGCAGACCAGAGGCCTAGCTTCTCCTACGAGCCCCGTGAGGGCGGGGACTGTGGCTAGGCCTGGGGACAGTTGGTCCCAAAGAGACGGGGTACTTGTACCTCCTCCCATGGGAGACTTAGGTCTCGAGATACTTCTCGGATAGGGAGCCAAGGCCGGGTCACCACTCTTGGACAAGATCCGGGCCGGGAGAGTACCGGCGAATAAAAAAAAAGTGACAGTCGGCCTTAATGATCCTCGCGTAGCCGATAAGCGTGAGACTCATTTTGTCAATTAACCAACCATTCATTCAATGGGAGTCACACTTGTCACTGCTATGGTGATTCCATCAGTGAATCTCATCCATCAGGGTGATTTTTTAATGTTTTCATGGTCCGAGTGCGTGTGACTGTGAGTGCGTCAGCCATAATTGTAACTGTAACTACCGTATTTTTCGGCCTATGAGACACGCTTTTTTCGCACAAAAAGTCTTGGAAAATCAGCCTGCGCCTTATATGCTCAAGATCAGTGTCAAGGGTAGGCTTGGGTTACGCTTTAACAGTTGTTTACTAACATTATGTTACAACTGCTTAGAAGCGTCGTCTTATATTCTCGTGTGCCTCATATGCCGGAAAATACAGTAATTGTAGATGCATTTAGGAACTTAACAAGTTTAGTGCTTTCGCGGGACGCAGTTTCACGAATTTTTACAAAGCTTGGAAAGGATTCGAGTTCATCGGAAAACGGTCAGCCAAATCAAGATCCAAAAAATAAACTTTAGTGGATTCTGAGTGCATCTTCACCGAAATCCGTCTTACGGTTAGTTGTAAGTCTTTCTGCCTCCCACTTTCCTTATCGCAAAGACATCAATAAAAAAGACATCGATAACAGTAATATCATCAACAGTACGAATAAGAGGAACAATAACAATGAAAATGACGTAAGTAACAAAAAGGAAAAACATCAATAGTCATCTATCATCAATCATCGACTATCATCAGTCATCATCAATCATCCATCATAAATCATTTATCATTAATCATATATCATAATCATCATTATTCACACACACACACACACACACACACAACATGCCTAATATCTATTGACAAGAGACAATGACAGGTCTCAAAAAACATATCACAAACGAGTGTCAGGGTTGTTACCAAGTGTTATATGACTGGTGATGAACAGGCGAAATGCAACCTTAGTGTCCGAACTACAGCTATTTAATTAGCCTGAAACTTAACCAAGAAACTTGAACCTTAAGCATTAAACTGAAAAGAACGAGTGAAGAAAAACAGAAACACAAATCTGGCAGGTTAGTCTACTTAGATACCACATTCAATAATGTTCAGAAATGCAGCCACATGTGAGAAAAAGTTTACAGCAGTATATAAAAACTAACATATTGCTATATACTAACATTTATTTACAGTATATAATAATACCTTAGGAACATAAAAAAATAAATATAAATTATATATATATATATATATATATATATATATATATATATATATATATATATATATATATATATATATATATATAT